TAAATTTCATAGAGTAAATAAAAAACGATTGGATCATTATGAATCCGAATAAAATACTTTGGGTGTACTTTTGATATGAAAAATATTTTCAAATTATTATTAAATTTTTAATTAGAAAAAAAAAAGTTTTTTATACACAGAAAAGAGAGAGAGAGAGAGAGAGAGAGAGAGAGAGAGAGAGAGAGATGGAAAACGAAAAGAAAGAATAAAAATCATTGAATCCCGCATATCAAAAAAAAAAATCGTAGCAATAAATCTTTTTTTTAAGACAAATTGCTTTTAATAATGGGGGGCTTTAGCATATGAAATAGTTAATTCTTAAAAACAAAATGGCCGAAAAAATTTTTTTTTTTATTTTCTACTTAATTGCAACACATTAAAACTTTCTTTCCATTTTCATACTATTTAAAAAAGAAACACCCGGTCCTTTTCTTTTTAACTTTCTATCTATCTATCTCTCTCTCTCTCTTTCTCTCTCTCTCTTTTATTTTTATTTTGATGTTGGAAAAACTATTCTTTTAACTTTTTTCTTCTTTTTTTTTTTTATCTTTTTTTCTGTCTTTATTTTTTTTCTTTTTTAAAACTTTTTTTATTTTTTTTAAGATTAATACTTTCCGGTAAAATGTTTTTTTTTCCTCTTTCTTATCTATTTCATCTTTGTTATCATCATTTTCCGAAAAAAAAAAAATTTTTATCAAAAATTATTTTTAAAATAGCGAACGACAAAAAAAATTCCCCATAATTTCATTTTTTTTTTTTTTTGAATTTCCCGCGTTTTACAGTAAACTGAAGTGTCATTAGAAAAAACAATAATTCGAATCGTATTTCTCTCGATGTAAAAACAAGTAAAAAAAAAATTTTTTTTTTATGGAAGGGGAGGGGGAAAAAAATATTTTTACGGTTTTGTTAAAACCATTATTTTTATGTTAAAAAAAAAAACAAAACAAAACAAAATTTCGAAACATAATCCTTGTCATTGTGTGTGTTTTCGACGACGACGACGACGACGATGTTCCCGAGGGAAACTTAATTGTTTAATCCATGTTCACTATTATTTGAATTTATAAAATTAATAATTCACATGGGATGTTTGCATTTTAAGGGTTTTAATGTGCCAATGAATGAACAAAAAAAAAAAAGGAAAATGTCGTCGTCGTTGTCCTTTGTCGGTAATTATAATCGAAAGAAAAATAATAATAATAATAATAATAATAATAATATTTATACGTTTATCTTTGTTTATTAATTCAGTAGTAGTGGCAGTAGTCGTGGCAATAGTAGTAGTTAATCGAAAAATAATTTTTTCTCTCTTTCAAAAAATGAGTATTTAATTATCCATCCTTTTTTTTCCGATCTCGTTTCGCCCCCCCCACCTCCCTCCCCTTCCTCCTCATCTTCCTCTTCTCTCCCCTTCCTTCTCCTCCTCCTCCTCCTCCTACCCCCTCGATAAAAAAAAAACTCCATTTACATTTTTAAAAAAAATAAAAATAAAAATAAAACTTTTTTTTTTTTCGCGGTTAAAATGGAAATTTAAAAATGCTCGGCATAAATCCATTTAAATAGTCCTCCTTTTTTTTTTGTTGCTCCATCTCCCTTCCACACGCACACACACGCACACGCACACTCAGCGAACATTTGCTGTCGTTTTTTTTAATGGTCCGACTTTAAAGAGAGAGAGAGATAGAGAATATTTATTACATTTTTATACGTACATAATGAATTGAGAGTTCGTGATAAAAATGACGGATGTACATGTTTAAAATGTATAATTATTTAAATAATATCTTATTTTTTAGGTTTATTTCGTGTCCTCCAGGTTTACAAAAATTTACCACCTCTCCGCATTTAAACGTGGAAGTAGATAAAAAAAAAATTATGAATTCGTCGTATGCACGAGGGGACTGTAATTTTAAAAATTTCTAGAATTTTATTTTCTTATTTTACATAATCGCGAGCCTAAAAAAAAAAACTTTTAACGGTTATTCGAACCGTATTTAACATTTTTTTTTTTTTTTACAAACAATAAAAAAATTTTTTGAATATTAATATTAATGAAAATAATAATAATGATGATGGATTTTTATTCACGAAAAATTTAACCCCGTTA